AAGAGCCTTGCTGTCATTTGGGAAGTGAATAGCAGTCCCCATGATTTGCAAAGACCCTACAGGATGCTCCATGGTGATGGACATCCATGACGCAGAGGCCAGAGGAACTGGAGCTTCTCTTGGGATGCGGTGTTGAATGATTTGGCTGGGACCACGTGACAAGGGACCCCCAGTTCCACCCCAATTAGCAGCGCTCAGCCTGGGTTCATTAACACAACCCCCCGACCTGCTCTGCTCGCAGGCCTGGCTGCTGCCTGACCCCGCAACCTCATGGAGGAAACCCAGCTTCCTGCTAGGCCTCCTGTGCAACAGCCAGCTGCTCTGCAGCAATGCAGTCCATGCGTGGCGGGGCTGGACACTGCTTGTCCAGAGAGCCAGTAGTTTGGGAAAATTCACCTGAAGCTGATTCATCCAGAGCTTTTCCAGCCTGGGATATCACACAAGGTGCTCCAGTGGTGCAATGGGTCAGCACGTGGTACTTATAACGCAGTACTAGTGAAGCAATGCCAAGGTTGTGAGTTCAAGCCTCACCTGGAGCATTTCACTTTTTCTTCATGGTAAGGGTGGCCAAAATTTGGAATGGGCTTCCAAGGGAGGTGGTGCTCCCCCCTACATTGGGGGTCTTTAAGAGAAGGCTGGTTAGGCATCTGGCTGCGATCGACTGACCCCGGCGCTCTTTCCTGCCCAGGGCAGGGGGTCGGACTTAATGATCTGTCATCCAACCCTAACATCGATGAACCTATGAATCATCTAAAGTCTTTGTACAACTATCAACCCTGACACAACACAACACCTCACACCCAAGTCTGCCCCATGGAAAGCAGGGGGACCACGGTGGCCAACATCCTGCTTTTATAAAGTCTGTTAATACACGCTGCAAAGATGCCAGGCGAAGGCCGTTCCCCCAGGACAGAGGAAGGCAACACCCCGCACCCCACCCCAGTCTATACCAATATGACCAAGGGCTAAATTTCCTTCCTGACCCCAAATATAGCATCAGTCTGAGCCTGAACACAGGGGCAAGACCCTCTTGCCGGGATGCTTCAGGGTTGAGTGCCAGCAGGAGCACTGGCACACAGGTTTGTGTAGTTTTGCTACGAGCTTGGATAGTGCATTTGTCTGGGCTGGTTTGCACAGCACTGATCCTGCTTCAGGTGGAGGTTGGACTCGATGTGACCCCTGTGGGTCCCTTTCAGCTCCACTTCTCTAGGACTATAATCTGGAGGTGTGAGGTGGGGCGCTCCGCAGCGAGCATGGCTTAGATGGAGCAGGTTAGGATAAAAGCAATGAGAACTCGTAGGCTTGGAAAAGTCATATTGCTTTGTGGAGGTGGAAAATGGTTAGGGCATTGCTCGAACCCTGGGAAGAACAGGGCTCAATCCCTTTCTCTGCCACAGACTTCCTGGGTGACCTTGGGTGCATCCCTGGTACAATAAAGATGACAATGGTGCTAATGTTTCCCCAGCTTCACAAGGATGCACAGACTCTGCAACGAGGGTTGTAGCAATGCCTACATTAGCCAGGGCTGCCTCTTTCTAGAAACGTATTGACTCATAACCCCAAAAAGATGCAGAGCCACAGCCCAGGCAGCTTGGATCCTTTCAGCCACGAGGAGCCAGATGGGAGGTTTGGGTGGGAAGCGGGGTGTGGAGTGAATATGCTGGTAAAAGCTTTGGCTCAATCTGTTTTGAGCAGCTCAGTGCTTTAAACAGGGTGAATGGAGGCAAGCAAATAGAAGGAGATGAGCATTGGTGCCTCTGCACCAATGAGCATTGGGAGATTCCCGTCACTGTCCTTCGGGTGTCTCTGTGCATCTGATCCACCACTGCCCTGTGTGGCCTGGGAAGCAGAGGCCGTGAGCAGCTGTGATTCGGATGGATGCGGCCGGCGCGGGCCTGCGTGGAACAGCAGAGCCGTGCAGGCTTCCAGGGGCTGGTGCATGAGAGCAATGGAGCTGCTGTGTCCTGGCTCGGGTCCGTACAGCCCCGCTCTCCACCGCATCCTGCGGCAGTGAGTTTCACAGGTTGCTTACGGCACAATTCAGGATGCTAGCATCCAGCTTGCCTATCAAACCATTGGGGAAGGGGCTCCCAGCCAAGGGTTTTGGGGCTCCGAGTGCCAGAAACCAACTTGCAACCGCTCAATGCATGAAACGCTCCCAGCCTAGTTTAGCAACCGCTCCATCATGAGGCCGGCCATTGACGGGTGCAAGCAGCGGGGCTTTGCTGGAGATTGCCTCTGCCTGCCTTCTGACTGGGGCGGAGGGGGGAAGCCAGCAAGGG